CAACTTATTATTATTATTTTTTATTTATTATTATTATTATTATTATTATTATTATTATTATTATTATTATTAGTAATAGGCCTATTATGATTAATAATTTTAACCATTCTGCAAACAGAATATGTGGTCATTGGCATAAATTGATGACGTTGAAACTTTAGCAAACAAGTGCTTAGTAGGAATGATTATGTTAAGCATTATTAGGATATGGATAAATAAGTAATTAACTGTTTTATTTTAATTTTTAATTCAATTCTGCATATCCATTCACTTTCTGACCATCTCTGTGAACCTGAGAATCTGAGGTTGCTGCGACATGATACATCTTCTTTCCTTTCTCATCTTGTCTTCCTGTTTATTTCCTGTCTTGTACAGTATTCCGTATCTTTCCATTGCCTTTCTTACTTTTATCTTTCGCTTGTTTTTCTTTCTTTCTTATACTTGGCTTAAGAAAAATATTTCTATGGATCTAACACTTAAATTATGATGTATTACTATGTTCTATGTTATTATGCAACTGTAGTAGCTAGGCCTATAATGAGTAAAATTGATACTTGTCATAGGTCCCACTTAAGGATGATTATACATGTAAAATATTCCAGACGGAATAGGCCTAGTAAACAAACTGTATAAGGTACCGTAACGAGGGTGTCAGACCTTTATCTGAAAGAATTGATAAGTCGAGGTGGTCTATGCTTGAGCGAGGATACCCTGCTTTGGTATTTGCTGTTGTGTTCTAATCATTTAACACGTTGACTGCCAGACCTTTTTTTACGGTTCCTTCCCGTGTGCCAAAACAAGTTTACATGTACAAACATACTTTTTTGAAATTTTATCTAGTCATATATCATCAAAATGATATGTCTAATAAATTGGCGGGAAAATATTAGGGGGCGAGTATACTCGTCGATGGCACTGTGATAGAACTTTTTACTGACTATGCCAAGTGCGAGTTATCTCGTCCTCTTTTTGCATGGGTTGGTATATGTTCAAAGGGCGCCCCCACCTGTACCGCTCGAGTGTACTAACGGCAACATAACACAACAAACATACATATGTCATTTGTACGTTATCGTCTAGGTGTATCTTCCCCGAACTACCAGCCGTTGAGTCTGTGGTCCTACTATAAACGCTAGAATGTTCCCCCGTTTTTGACGAGTATACTCGTTTCTGGCGCCCTCAGCAACACCCTGTGGGCGAGTATACTCGTTGCTGGCAGCCAACGTGTTAAAAGGTCGCATAAGAAAGCACCAAAGCAATCTTTTAAGAACAATCTAGAGATTTATCGTCTACAAATTCACAGATGTGTAACTATAATGATTTATATTATTTACGTGAGGTTGTTAGCAATAGAAATTTGTTGAAAATGTTATAAGTCTATGTTTTTATACGCATAAGACTGGAGAGGTTGTAAATTCAAATATTATTGAGATTCTACGAATTTTGGTATACACAGTAATATAAAATATAATTTATTATTAACAACTTGAGCTACTGATAAACACCTTTTGGAAAAACCATTATATTCTGTTTAGATTCGATGTTGGTGAGCAACCAGCTTTGTTTTATACAAACGTTTTACCACTTTCAACTGCTGAAATGCGGCGCTTAAAATATTGATTTCTTCATTCATTAGCTAAGATTGACTGTGCCAGTGGACCTTGTATACTGCCACTGATATAAAAGTGTAATGTTAAATAAATATTATATTATAACATAACTTTATATCAATGTTCTAATAACCATTGCGTAGGATAATTAGGTAGGTTAAATTTATGAAACTGCGGGATTTTTTAAGTTGCTATTGGAAACCATTTCAAAACGCTCTTTATCGACATTTATGTTCAAAGGATTAGTGGTCAAAGGGCTGTAGTAATTTTTTCCCGACCACAGTTTTATCACGGGCCGGATTGAATTGTCGCTAAAAAATTAAAAATTTAATTGCATGTTTGAATTGCCTAATTTTATATTTGAGTAATTATTAACTTAGAATTTGAAGATTTAATAAGAAAACTCTTTCTCATTTAATAGAGAACCTTTCCTATATTCCTTTAATTAAAAATGTAAGGGCAAATGTCTGTAAATCAGCAACAACTATTTTTTTTAGATCCGTTTTGTTTGGAATTCAATAACTTCTTATAACCTTCTATGAGCTATTAAAAATAATAAATATATAGTCTTAAAAGTGCTGCGATGTCGTCATTATTATTTTTATTATTGTTCAAATGTCTTCTTGAATTAGTTAAGCTAATAAAGAGTCGAGGACAAGACGAAATATAAATAAAAGTGCATACAGAAACTTAGGATTTTATAATTATATCAAGCATAATCTCTTCAACGAAAAGTTCATTTTCATTTGTATTGTAAAAAAATGTGTCTGGTCGGATTCGAACGTGAGACCTTTCGCTATGAAGGAAGTATCATACTACACTGCTAGACCACAGAACATCTCTCACACTAACACAAATGAGTTCTACACGAAGTAGAGGTAAGGTTAAGCTAAGAACTACCTGTAATACTAAACTCCTCATATTATTACAAATTGGCTGTGTGCCTAGTTTTTTATATACCTTGATGAAGAAAAAAGGATAGTTTCGGAATATTGATTTTATAAGTCTTTCTTACATATTGGTTTCGTGATATTTTTCATTATCATACTGAAGGAAATGTGGAACTTCTTGTTTATATATAATTGAGTAACAATGTCCAAATTGACAGCTTTGAAGATGAGAAAAACAAAAATAAGTCGATGTATAACAAATTTTTTAGTTGCCAGTTTTATAATTTAAGTAGGCCTAAGTTGTCCAGAACCGAATAACGGTTAGCCTATGTTAAAAGCCATTTCCTTTTCAACATACTGCAGACTTACCAGCCCTAGAACTGAACAGAAGTCTCAATATGATATGAAAATTAATGGAGTGGAGCAGTGACAAACAAAAAATTGGTATTTAAGTGAACCCTGGGCCCCTGGATATTATATACGAATACAATTTATACGAATACGATACTTTCACATCTGGTTTATTCAAGAGTTCCAAAATAGAAGGAATCTTTATGTAAGACTTTTAATAGAATATATCGGTAAATTATAAATTCATAGACAAATATGATCCTAATTTACTCGAAATACATAATTTACAGGAATACCTTGCAAAGCATGTGCACTATTAGTGAAAGGTCAAATAGTACATAGCGCCCCCTATGTGTGCAAACATCCTTGAAGAGTGAAAAGAAAAATATTGACCACAGAATTAGTTTACCAAGATAAACTGTGTACCCTGCGGAATGTTTGACGGACTTACAGGCAGTAAGAATGTTCCCAGCTGATACATTCATTTTCCAAAACGTCTTTAAACAGTACTACGGTTGGAAGATGTAATTAAGACTCAAAAGTTAAAAATTATAAATCTGAACAATTATGTTTCTATTTATTTAAGACTGCTCTCACTAAATAAATGGCAAGGCATAAGACAACATGATAAACATGCATTTTATGATATACTGTAAAATGATATATTCCATTTATCAAATGATTTATTTTTTAATAATTTGTACAGCATATAAAATTACTGTATTAAGCGTTAATTATCGTACAGCACTTAATCAAGCACATGATAGTAACTTTGGTATAGAGTTACACCTCCACTGGTGGTTTAGCATCTAATGAAGAAGCTCACATCATGTTAAGCATTTTTTGTTTGTTTATTTCTCTTTTTGTTTATTTACAGCATGAAAGATATGCTTAAAGGTGCTTATAATTATTAAAACAATACAGAAACTAAATCGAAATTAAGAGAAATAATTAATCCATATATAAATCATCTAAGAACAAAGACACTTATAAAGACCAGAATAAAATACAATAATTATCAAATCAATATTGCAAGTTTTTCCAATTATTACAAATGAATTATCTCTTATTTCTTTTATTTTCTATATGAACAATTGCTTTCTAGCTTTTTTATCGTTATCGTTAAACAGGCCTTTAAGATAGTTTAAAATTACGGTAATTAAGTATGAAGACGTTCACTTTCTATTATGTGTATGTATTTGTCAGTGTAAGTGATTGTCCCATATATACACAGCACAGTGATAATATGTGCACTATTGGCCCATGTGCTAAATTTATGAATTAAAGATAAAAGCAGGTATCAAAAATGTATTTAAAAACTTTGCTTTGTTTCCATGGCAGTTGGTCAATTGATATTTCACACACTTCAGTTTTAGACATGATGTTCCATGTGTTCTTTTTGCTCTTTTGTATTTTTTCATCTGTTCATAACATTTACATTCATAGAGCTTTCTTAACATGAGAGTTGCGTTATAGAAGTAGCACGTCCGTTAAGGCTTTCAGGATTTGGCAATGGAGAAACAAGTTGCAAATAACCCCATGACCCCTCTCCGCCCCCACAGGTTGATGTAAATGACAAGATTTGATTGGCTCCTGCTCCTGAAAAATAAAATCGAAATATCTGATAAGGCTGAGATCAAAGAATTATTAAAAAGAATTTATACAACAGGATGGGAATGCTAACAAGTACTGGATGACACCTTGTCAGTAGGCTAAGCCCATCCAGCTTTTCACAATAAGCATGACTCACTTATTAAAGCCGTTGCCTTTTCTAGAATGTTAAAAGTTTGAACCTTGAATATTTATGTGCAGTGAAATAAAATATCAATAAACATGCCATATCACAGCCAACAAAATGATGAACATCTAAGAATACTTAAATTTTAACCATGCATTGAATGATAAAGCTAAGGTGAAGAATTTTTGTTAAATTATTTTATTTTCAGGCAGCCCAAAATGCACAGCTTGCATAGAGCTGTCTGAAAAAACAAACCATTTTTATTACAGGCAGCCCTACTGTATGTAAGCATTGCTTTCTTGGTGTTGTCGGCTTTCAGTCCTCCGACATATGTAATACAATGTTAAGAACGAGAAACACATATTGCTTTAAACTGATCAAACCAATCTGAAAAGCAGTAGTAGTTCTAAAAGCTGTCTTAGACGGACCTGAAAATGATGCAAGTACTTCTGCAGCAGCCCCTTGGGTCTTGTATAAGAGCAAGTGTCCTGCAAGCACTGCTGGGCCTTGGAATGTAGCTCCATCTACCTCACACAGCACTGGGGTACATCCCATAATGGTGCCACTCAGTTTACAACTTACACCACCCACGGTTGCGACAACTGACACAGCACTTGAGAGGTTGGATGGGGCTTTCTCAACATGCTCAGTAGCAGTCTATCAAAACAAATACATTTTGAGTAAAATGAATGATTCTGTACACACTTCGTTGGTAAGAAATAGACCTGAAGAAATAGAGTTTAAACATTCTTTCTAACCCATTCACTGACATGGACAACAATACTCATCTTATAGGGTGTTGTAGATATGGCTGGGATGAGTATATTCGCACCAATACTATTCTTTTATATGTATGACACTGATGGGGCTGCCAAAGCCACAACTGTACACAATTGAGCTGCTCAATACAGTAATAATCTAAAAATAAATTTGTGATGGTTTTTGTATTGTTTGACATGAAATTGAGAAATACTTCTACTTGGTGAGGCACTTTAAAAGTTTTTGTGGCAAATTTGAAAGAACTTTGTCACAGCGAATTCTGTTAATTATTGTTATAGCATTAAATTTACCAAACAAACTAGTTTTAACAAGAGCAGACACAATATGATATTTGTCTGTTTTACAAAACCAGCAATGTTTGATCAAACAATATCGATGGCATGATATTTAATGTTGCACTTTTTCAAACATATCAAATCAACCCTTGTTAAAAATGACAGACAAAAAGCTAATGTTGCCCACCTGAAGGCCACCCTCCTTAGCAAGTACAGGAGCATTAACTAGGTTTACATTGGCGGAAGACTGGGTCTGCAAAATCCCTGCTAATACTGCTGCTGACAAATACTTTCCAGCATCTTTTAGGCTGTCACCTAGCAACAAGAGGTTCAAATAATAACATCATCAATCATGCTCACTTCTAATGAGGGAATTGCAGGTAATATTGATGTTACAGGTTTCATTTTCACAAAATCTACCAACAAATGAAATTGTTGTTCACCTACCATATGTTATAACCTGCACCTTTGTATCTGTTTTCAAAGGTCCAGCGATGGATGTTGCCAACAAGCCTAAAGCTTTACCAAGACTGACAAGAGGCAGTGTCTGAGGTTGCAAAGCATTGCTCAGAGCCTGGGCATTTATCTGTATGGTAAAGAGGAAACAAACTTAGCACATTATTACTGCTGTCAAAATTTATGCTTATTATATATTACACCATCTTATTCTATGGATTGCACCTAAAGGTTCTTGGATATACAAATGCAATGCTGTGCGAATATACTCATTTGAGGTTTATGCACATTATAGGATGATGATGATGAATGGTGACTGAAGGATGCCAAAGCACTTAGCTTTTACATAATTGTATTTATTAGTCACTTACATGACCAAAAAGACTCTTGCCATTGGTTGCATCTACAAACTGCTGGGCAATTTCTTCGGCAACTCTAATTTGCGCTTCCTCGGTGCTGGCACCAAGATGCGGTGTCATAATAACCTTCGGATGTTGAGTCAGTTTTTTGTTTTTAGGTGGTTCCTGTGAAGGTAAATGATTTAATAAACTTTCAAAGTTTCACTTCATATAATTTGCTTTAAATGATATTCTTCTCAACAGCAAAAATACAGTTACAAACAAGAAAAACAATGTGAAAACAATGCAGTTGTGATTACAAAATTGAGTTTAATCACTTCCAATGTTGGTCCATAAACAACATGATTTACAAATTTACATGAAAGTGGAACATTGACATATTTCAGAATTTAATTAAATACTGTAATTTCATTTAACAATTAGCTGATTCATACACCTAATTTTTTGTTCATGTCTTACCTCCATAAATACATCAAGAGCAGCGCCCCCACATTGACCAGAATCCAATGCACGAATGATAGCCTCTTCCTCATAGATACCGCCCCGTGCAATATTCAAAACACGAACACCTTTCTTACACTTTGCAAAGGTTGTGTCATTCAACATACCTAAAATAAAATATGTTATATATTTACAAAGTTCCAATATTCTGCTTATACTAACAGTTGATCAAGGTTAACTGATCAAAATACACTCTGTATATAGGGCTAGTAATAAATAAAAAAATGTTATAGCTACAAAAAAAAATCAGAAAAAGTGAATTGATTCCAACTGTGTTTCTTACATCATAAGTTGATAACTTATTTGCTTTTCAAAAATGAGCAATTTTATGTTTTAAATGAATTTGTAGCTTATTTTTATTCAAGACTGTACCACAGAAGATCTATCTACAGTACAAAATGTATTTCTATTTTAGGTTGTCTTGTCCTGATTACTGTTCACCAAGCATTTGTCAATATAAGTCAACACTGTGACCGTTTCAAAAAAGATAACCCAACATGAATCAGATACCTTTAGTGGGAGGGATGAGCGGAACATGCACAGTGATGTAATCAGCTAGGGGCCAAATTTCATCAACTGTCAGCCACTTGACATTAAACTCCTCAGCTTCCTCTGCAGACACCAAAGGGTCAAATCCAATGGTCTGCAATTTAAGTCACAAATCATTAGCGAACATTCTCATTATTATTGGCATTATAAGTACTTATCATAACAAGGTTTGTAGTATGTTTGTTTATTAATTGCGTGAGTGTTACAAAAATGAGACAATAGAATAATGATGAATGGAGTGGAGGGGAGTTGAATAGCTTAGTGCATGGTTAAGATGCTTGTCACAGCAGGACTTTTTATCACGACTAAGAACTTGACTCCCTAAACCTCATAAAGAGACTTCACTGATAAAAGCATCATATTATTATTATTATTATTATTATTATTATTATTATTATTATTATAATAATAATAATAATAATAATAATAATAATAATAAAATAATAATAATAATAATAATAATAATAATAATAATAACTTCATTTAATAAAGCGCAAAACAATATCCATTAAAAATGTTCATCGGCGCTGTACAGAATTTAAAAATATTCATAGACCAACATACACTTTAAACATATAAGAAATATACTTTAAAAGCTAATAGAATGTTTGAAACCAATAATCATCACAAAAATCACAATACCATTTAACACATCAAAAATCTACATTGAAATAAAAGAAAACGCGACATGAAATAGAACGATAAAACACTAAATTTTTTTGTATTTTGTAAAAGAAAAAGACAAGACAAGTCTACCAAACCATCAAAATTTACATCAAAAGTTTAAAAATGCCGAAAAAAAAACTACAGTACATCATGTGTCTTGGAGATTTAAAATAAAAAGCAATTAAAATGCAAGGCTATACAGTACATCATGTGTCTTAAATTTAAAATATAATCATATAAATTATTCTATTTATTTAAAGAGAGCCCTTCAATATCAGCCGATACTTTCAAGGATACGCTGGAAGGTTCACCCACTATAAATATGGAAAAAATAAAAAATGAAAAAATTAGCACAAAGGGCACAAACAACAGACCCTATACCTTCATGCCAAAAGACTGCATTCGGGTTGCCACTTCCCGACCTATCCTGCCTAGGCCTACGATAGCAAGAGTCTTGCCTTGAAGTTCTGTTCCCATGTATAGCTTTCGGTCCCATCTTCCCTCTCTCATCGACATATGGGCTTGTGGAATATGCCTAGATGTAAAACAAGTTTAACAAAAGAAGGGATTAATTATCAAATGACCAATAAGCAATTTAAAGTACAATTACCAATAACATGGTACAGATTAAATGTTATAATAATAATAATAATAATAATAATAATAATAATGAATTATGCTATATCTTTTTAATAATAATATTAAATAAGTTATTAAATAAGTAATAATAAAAATAATAAGCAACAATATTAACACTAACATATTAATAATTATAAGTTAATAAATAATAATTGATATATGAAATTAAATATAAATAATGACAACAATAATGATGTTAATATAAAGTAATTTAAAATATATTATCGATAATATTGGGAATTATTTCCATCCCATCCAAACAACACAATAAAACTTACTACAATATATCAGATAACAAATAGAAATTATGAATGAATACCAGTTCAACAGTTCAAGAGCTCTTATCTATGCACTTGAAGTGACAAAATGCTACACAGTAGTAGGCTATCACAACACAAATCAATCTAGAGTAAGCAAATAACCATGATAGAAGAAAAAAATCTGTGACATATGGGTGATTTCAGTTCAGCTACCAGCTTATCTTTAAAAAAATTATTTTGTGTCAATCCAAAAATTGGGGTAAAAAAATGTGACAAAATTTCAAGCGTATTAATGGTTTTTTTTGAGATATGATTCATAAGTGTTATAGAAAGTTGGTACATTGGTGTTAATGTTATTATTGATGCTTGGTACTTGTAACCCCTACACAACCAAAACCACTTAAACTGGGATGTTGTGCAATGGTGATGTCTGCAATAAGTCAAAAAGTATTAACCAAGTGTGTTTGTACATTATAGTAGAGCTATAGCTGGAGGTTAAGATGACTGCCTTCTAATCCCAGTGTCTTAGGTTCAAATCCTGTATATCTGTAAAAGATCTCCAGTCCACGAGACTCATAAAGAAGTGGTAGAGCACTTAGCTTGCAATTTTCTTCTCAATAAAAATAGCTAAGTATACAGTATGTGGACCACTTTGAGGACGAAATTCCAATTCAAGCCCCACTTACATCATCTATCATCATCTATATCGTCCTCAAATGCGTCAACCAATGTTGTCTCCAGTCATCTCGGTTCACCACACAATTGGCAAGTTCCACTGTGCTAACTGCTCCAAAATCCAGTTTCATAATGTCCACGTATGTTTTTGCGGGACGTCCCCTTGACCGACTTACAGATGTGGTATCTAACTAGACTATCTCCACAATAGTAGGCTATCATAACTAATGGCAAATTACGGTACCAAATAAACATGATATAATCATGAATAAACATGATATAAACATGAATAAACATGATATAAACATGAATAAACATGATATAATAATTAAAAAAACATCCTGGCACTTAATTCACCATAAGTTCAGCGGCCAGTCAAAAAAAAAATGAGGCTAACAGCAAAGTAGGGAATCGCTTTTATTCGTAAGCAAAAGTCACTGCATTTTAACGACAAGACACTAAGGCTGATTTTTTTTTATTTGATTTGATATCTTTCCTTATTCTGGATACTTATTCAATACCATACATATGTACTGGTCTCCCATGACATCCAGCTCTGAAATTTACATACAGAAATTTAAAATTAAAACAAAGACAACATGAATCAAATCATCAGGGTAATCATTTATTCTTCTGAAAGATTTAATGGTTTCTTTAAAGTGTAAGTGTACACAAGCAGGGTTCTATAAAGTGGACACAAGCCAGATGTGTACACTGGACCTCCATTTTAAGTCCTAATTCAGGAAGACTTGGTTCTACCAACTGAACCCTGGATGAGGAGTGGCTCGAACAAGTGCAGATGTAAAGGCTGTAGGTAGCGGCTCCCCTGCCTTACCTTTCAGGCATTTGAACAAATTATTTGAAATAAATATCAAATTATGAAGTTTATAATTATTCACCTTGCGAGTGCGCACATCATTGCACAGGTGTGCTCCACAGCACTGATTGTGTTACCTCCAGGTGTACTGAAAAAAAAAACATATCAAATTAACTTATAAATCATTTTAGTATATTAAAGTTATGTCAAAACATAAGCACACAAAGCAAAAACAAGATAAAATTATTAATATTGTCCGTACAATAAGTCTTATGAAGAGGTAAGCAGGGGTCCCAAGTCTCCCGGAAGTTGCGGGAGTCTCCCAGAAATCGGGAGGGCCTCCCGCACTCCCGCGAGCAAGCAAGAATCTCCTGGAAAGTAAAATATCTCCCGGTAAATTCATGATATTTGCATGTTTTTACCAATTTTTAATACTGTATTATCAATTGTCTTTTGGACGTCAGTGCCTGGGTATCACAATCCACAGCATAATATATTTAGATGTGTTAAGAAAGCTCATTGAAACAGATCTCCCGGATGTGGATCCTTCCAACTTGGGATCCCTGGGTATATATATTAAAAAAATGTTTACCATAAGCTTTGTACAAACCCCTGACCCTAGAATTTGAAAGAATATAATAAGGAACTGCTCAGTATATATAATGATTGGCCATAAATTTATGAAAATTAAAAAAGAAACAGTGTAAAACTGTATTTAAATATAGAATTTTCTTTGAAAGGTATATTTCCATTTATTATTAATGTTACTAATGCTCTGCAAATCCAGGATTATAAAGACGGTTGTTATATCTACATTAACCAATTTTAATAATAAATAATACACGCTCACTTCATCACAATAATTCCCTTTCTTGAGGCAGCAGGAATGTCGATGTTATCTACGCCAGTTCCAGCACGGCCGATTATCTTCAGGTTGGTAGCCGCATCAATGACATCTGCTGTAACTTTTGTGGCCGAACGCACAATCAAGCCATCATAATTCTAAATAACATGTATGGAGAAAACACCACCCATTATTGAACTATTTTAATTCATTTTTGTTGGCTATATGAAGACCAGCATCAAATTGTTTTGTAATCTAGTGAAACAATATTTACAATAGCATTAAAAATAATCAAACAAATGAAGATGCTTAAAAAAACAACAATGAGATAAATAGGGAAAATATTAAAAAACTGTACTAAGACTAAAGTTAAAAAAAAACCAAAAAAACATGTAGTGGCTTACACCATTCCTAATCCAATCCATAATAACATTGTAGATATGTATGGATACTAGTCAACTTGCCTTCTAACAAAATATCGACCTTTTACAAAATTGCTCCCTATAACAACGTACCCCTCCCCCAACCACCACTATACAAACAAGAGAGAAAAAGAGGAAGAAAAACTTTAAGGAAATGGGAAGTGGAGGAACGCTAATTTTCAATTTTGCCAGTGTTTATGATCCAGCATTAAACACCACCCACACCCCCTGCCCCTTCCTACCCTGAATTTTCTCTCTGTAGGTTGGTCAATGGTACTAATACTACTACTACTACAGTAATCTAGTAGTAGCTGTGTAATTATTAACAACAACACCACTTAACCACTGACAATATGCTTGCTGAATGTCTGTCCAATCCTAAACAGGTGCGGTAGTAGCATGGAGGGTGGGGTAAGGCTAGCCCTGCCTACACGCTGAGGAGGATGATGTAACGTCTGTTACAGGGAGCCTCCAGGACCTGGTCTATCCACTGTTTCCCGAGAAGAATACGACAAGCGACTTACCGGTATCTCGGCGATCAACTCTTCTTTAGACAACTTTGTTTTTGTTTCTACAATGATGCCGTTTGCTTCTAGAACTTGAGCACAAAGTGGTGACAATGCATCACTAATGAGAACTTTCTTCAATGATAAAACCATTTTTGATTGAATATTGGTGTTTACAACCGTCTTCTTTTTGTCTGCAAAAATATACTGCTGGAAGAGTCTCTCCTTGCTTCGCTTCCGCGATCTCGTTGCGATCACTCCAGTACATTTTATCATGCGTGACACGTGTGTTAAGTTGAAAGGTCACCACTACATAACAACGCACCATTCGCTCTAAAAATGTTGCGTGTGCTTGTAGATATTTTGTGTCAGTATATTCATATATTTTTCAATTTACTGAAAAAAACAACCCTAAATAACTATAAAAATACAGTCATGGATGTATTATAGTTTACTATATAAAACTTCCATGATATATTTGTATGAGAAGTCATTTGAAATTCAATTGTTCTCATCATTGACAGCATATGTTTCTTAATCCCTTACGTGGTTCTTTCTTCCGTATAAACA